CACATGCATGCACACCGCCTCAAAAACTGGCCTGGGGGACAGCCCCTCTTTTAGAAACTGCCTGGCATTTGCTATGCTGCTCAGCAGTTCCCTGGTGGCACTAATATACCTGAGTAGTTCTCATAGAAACCCTGGGGTTACTCCCTGCCTAAAATCCAGCATATGCTTAAGTGTTGTTGAAACTGCATCTTGATATGGTTTAGTTTTTAACCATAAAGTTTAGGGGAATAATCTGTATTATCAGCATTAATCACATAAAGTTCTGTTTTGAAAATACGACTCACCAGTGGATAGAGTTTTCCCAAATTGCTTAAAAGATTAATAAAATAATCAACTTGGCAGAGGGGAAAAAAACCCACAAACTGTTCCTGTAAAGAAATCACTTTATTGCCTATACATGTGAACGAGCTGTTTTAATACTCAGGTTCACTGCCTCCTCTGCATTTAATCTCTTCCCTTTTATGTCCTACTCTGATTTTTTTTTAAAAGACTTTCAGGCTTTTTTAAAATTAATTATACAAATCATTAGTATTAAAAAGGTAATATAATGGTTTCAAGAACAAGCTTCACAGACTATCTGCATATTTAATCATCTCTGCTAATAAATTTTTAATCACTCATTGAGTTCAGGTTCTTGTCTTGAAGCTTAACTTGATAACAAACCTAGCAACTGGTAGAACTAATTGGTACAGAGTAAGTGAATAATTTATAAGAGGAAAAAGCACTGGGTGTTCTGGAGGTGTGCAGAGACCACAAGTCACAGATATTTCTGGGAGGAAGCAGGAAAACAGTGGCTGATTACAGGAATTTCGTGATACACTGCTGACATCCAGAGGCCAACAGTCAATACTGTTCACATATGTGAACCAGGCTGTAAAGAGCACTGTAAAGCCAGATTCATTAAGTTTTAAATATTCATGCATTTCATTAAAGTTAACATTAATTGCACTACCATACACATTGATTATGCATAGACCATAAGTGTTTAACCTCTGAAAGCTTGCAAATATGTTGAAGTAGTGGGGTATGTCCCATCTTCAATGATTTCAGTGAAAGCTTCAGCTACAAAGTTGAAATTAGAAATGGAATGCGTTACAGTGCTAAGGAATAATAGTTTGAAATATCAGAACAGTAATAAAAATATCTATTTAATTAACCAAACAGAAACACTGATATAAGCTGTGAGTTGCTTTGTATTTTTCTGAACTGAAGTAATAAAGGTAAAAAAATTATGCATAAGATTTCTTACTGACAAATGCTAGACTAAGCTGCAAGCTACATCTATAAAATAGGTTTAAACAGTTAAAACTAATTGGTGGCTGAGTGGCTTCTACTTAGATGAAGAAGAGTAGCTTTCAAACAATCTAACAACAAAAAAAAAAGGCTATTCTCTTGAAATAAGCTGATTTGTGTCTTAAAATGAGACATCCCAAAACCACTTACACTACAGAATAATTCTACCCTCAGGGAAGCACAAAATGCTACAATTCTTAAACCAGGATATAACAGACAACATTTGACAGAAATTCAATTATCCTTAAAAGATCCCACTTGTAGTTAGTTACATACATAATCCTCTTTTATTTAATGGGTTAAAGCTCTCTTTCAAAACATTTAGTTTGATGAACTGAAGACTTGCTACATTTCAAAAAATTCATTAAGTGACTTAATAAGATTGTTAAGTAAAAACACTCAGAAGTTAAAAAATGTCGTTTAATGCTGCCCATGCAACCTTAATTCTGGCTGTCTATGTATATGCATTATGAAACACTAGTGAATTAACTTTTAATCTCCTTTGAGCCAAGAAGATTTTAAGATTGGAAACTAAGGCACAAAGGGCATGCCAACAAATACAATGCTGAGCTTTAGAGCAATCTCTGAACTAGCTCACATCTTGCAGAGCATACCCCTGCAGGGCTAATTACCCCAGATAGAAAGCTGGGCTTGTACAGTTATACTGCTTCTGGTACCTCTGCATGGCAAGCTTAGTTCTCTCCTCCTGGCACTGCACTGCACTACACATACACACTCACAGAAGTATAAAATTTTAAATCTGAGAAAAGTATGAAGTGTTTTTCAAATATCATGCTTCAGACCTAGGTGCTTTGACACTGATTTTCCATCAAGAAGTTTAAGACTGCAGATGCTGACCTCCCCAAAGTAAAGGCAAAAACATACCACTTTCTTACATATTAAAAAAACCCTCTGCAAACAATACCAATTTCAATTGTGTTTTTTTAAAAACTCAGTCCTTAAATGCTCTGTGAGGTAGATATAAAATTGTCTGCATCTATAGTGAAGCAAAACGTTGGAGATGGATAGATCAGCTTGCCCAAAATAGTACTGATTTCTCCCTGAGCTGTTAACATCTCCTGATTAGCCAATTTTCTTTGTGAAGGTGGGCACCAAAGTGTAGTATTTCTAATTAGCAGCCACAGTTAACACACTGAAATTCTGTTTAAACAGCGTTGCCTGCACTCTCAAAGAACTTTATGGTCAGACATACCCTGGGTGGTATCATAAAAAACCTTGCCATTTTTCTGACAAGAAAATATTGGTTGCTAGCAAGGATGTTGCAAGTCATATATCAACCACCTGTACCATTTAGCATGTTTTAAGTTAGTCTGGGATAACAAAGAGTTTCGTTTGGTTTGGTTTGGGGGTTTTTTGTTTGTTTTTACACATTAAGACTACCTCCTTCATGCTTCTTCCTTCAGTACTATTTAAACAAGGAAATAGCATGTTAATTCATTTAAACACCAAACTGGATTTTATTGGTTTTACTGATTTGGTTTTTATGTCATAGTCATGAACAACCAAACAGTTCAAGAAAAGTATGCACATTTGAAAAAAAAAGATTTTGTATTCTCAGCAAGATTTCGGTTTAGATTTTAATTAAGAGCGCTGTCAAAATGCAGGAGGCAACATTTATGAAGTAAGAATGCTTTGAATACTTGCCAGTTAAAAACTTTCAAATATCCAAAACCCATGCTCATTAAGCAACACTTTGTTTTACTTGGGGTTTTTTGATGTTAGGTTTTTGGGGTTTATTTTCAATTTCCCTTGTGGAAAAAAAAAACCTGAAAAAGCAGGCACAGATTCTTGATGGTTGATATCTCTCCACCATATGACATAATCCCCACATTCTCTTTTTTTTCTGATAGGTGCAAAGGTGACAGGTACTCACTCACTGAGTTAGCTTCTCTATCAAGCATGCTAGCAAATACATAAATATAAATAAAAATTATGACAGAGCTTTCACATATCCAAGTAGAAATGGACTACAATAGAGAAGTCATTTCATTTGCCACAAGATGATCAAAAAAACAGGGATGAAGAGAAGAATGTTTCTCCTTATTCTATACCAATCTGAAATAATACTAGTCATGAGAAGTAATCACATGATTAAACTAAATCTGAGAAGGTTTTAATTAAAACTATTTTTCTAATTACAATTTGAATTTATATTTGAGGTTTAAGAGTAAAATTTATTAGACTGTGAAGAGTTTTATAAGGCATTCCTAATGTAATGAGCTTAGGCACCACATATGTTGCGTCTTTGGTACATGTTATGAAGAACTGCTTTTTTAATGAGCTTTAAAAACTGTATTTGCATACCAGAGGAAAAGGTCAGTGATGTGTGGATCAAGTCAGTAAATTAAGTATCACAGTATTATGTTTTTACGATTGCCTTCCACAGACACACAATAACAAAACCACAGGCTACAGCTACCATACTATTCTAATGCTTCCATCTACATAACCTTGTCAGCTTACACACACTGGCACTACTGTGCCTTGGGTCCACCTTACTCCATCCCTTGCCCGGGCCTCCCTCACCTTCTCTCCCCACCAATCCTACAGCAGAACAGCTGGTATGTCTGACAGTCAATTAAAGCAAGCACAAGAAGGAGGGATCTGATTCAGTGTGATGACCCCTCTCCAAGGCACTACCTTGCACTCCAGCCTTTACCCCAAGTAAAGATACTAGGACCAGGTCCTGAACCCTCGTAAGAAGATCAAACCTATTGGACAGCAAAGCATCAGGACAGGGATGCCTCTTTCAATCCAAGCCCCTTTCCACTCAAGTCTTTGTTCAAGGATGCAGCAGTACCATCTCTCTTTCAAAACACAGACACCAAAAGTACTTCTAATGCTATAGTCCAACATTTGACTTGGTCTAGCATAACAGTTCTTTTTAGATGGAATGGTAGATGTTTGGTAATCTCTAAAGACTGGTTGACTGGCAGCTATATTGAAATTTTTATCCTGTGATAAATAATAAAATAAGCTAGGAACTGACTGCAAGTATACTCTCACCAGTTTTCAGCAATGAGTAAAGTTCACTGGATTTATGTTTATTTGGAAGTATTGTAAATATTGTAAATCTGTTAATATTATAACATTACCTTTATTTTTTAAGGGCAATTGAAGTTGATTCCCTCCCCTACTCTGCAACAATCCACAGTACTTAACAGGTCTCTCTCTCTCCCTGTCTGTTAGAGACTGTACGTATACACTAAACCATGATACTTTATGCATGTGTATACATATATATTCCAGCTCTGTATAAAGATGTAGATTTAGTCATTAGAGAAAAAAAATCCTTTAAAATATGACAACAGTAATAGCACAACTCAACACAACTGATCAGTTATAAGTAGCTTTAATGATTTTTCATTTTTTGTATATGATAATCCTCAAAGTAGCATTCAAAAATATAGTGAAAAATATTTATTCATTTTATTTACAAATAAAATGTGCAGTTCAGCTTCTTATCCTCACCACAGTAAATATTATTCTTCTATGTCATGAATAGGAATTATGAGAAACATTTAAAGAGACAAAAAGTTAATTTTAAACCTAGGAACAAAGACCTTCCCTTCAGTTATACTTTTGCAGAAGTTACACAGTATTAATTTTTTTTAAATAATTTTCAGCTGAAAAGACCCCAAAGAATCCAAGACAACACTAAAGAATTACATAGGAAAGAACGTTCTTTTAAAATCATGACATTAATTTTGCTGTGACAATCACAAAGCAAAGTTCATATCTCTATAGAATATAATTTTTTTTTCAGCTTAAATATAGAATCTTTACAATGTAATGCTTTTTCCCTTCTTACTATACAAATCATCTTTAGGGGAAAAAGTATCCTAGTATCTTCCTTTCCCTTCGATGAAACAACAGACGCTTTGGTTAAAGAGCAATTCGTGCACAATAGTGTTTTAACTTGCAAGGCAGTACTCCTTTATTAAGTTGGTAGAATTCCACCAGCTGGATGAGATCAGTAAACCTGGTATGGCCATCATCAAGGGTATAGAATAGCTTCCCATCATCTTCCAACTGCAAAAATGGAAAAACAAGATAGAATAAAATCCTCTTTTGCTATGGTATTTCTTCCTGATTGCAATACTTGTGTGAGAAGTCCTCTTGTAGACCAAGATATTCATAACCTTAGGACTACTGAGAGAAGGAAAAATACAGCAATCATTCACAGCAAGATCAAAAACCAACAGAAAAATAACACATTCTTTAACTTCCCCTTTAAGTTAGGTACATGCCTAAAAGGAAAGAACAGTGAAATAATTATAGGAATATTCTTTCTGCACTACTTTCCACATACTACTCTGTGCCTTTGCTTTGGAATGATAGCTGGAGTCAATATGAACACTGAGTTTTTACATACTGACAACAACCAACCAAGTTTCAACTCACTCATAGATTTTAACCTTTCCTCTATTCGTGATCGGTGTAACTGCTACATTTTGTATCCCTTATTTAGTAAGGTGCAATGAGGCTACACACTAGTTCACCAGTGTAATGGACGACATTTGCTACACAGGAAACCGCCCGTCACGAAAGTAACATGCTTGATGTAGCAGGAAGTTGTAGGAGAAAGAACTGCTGCAGCTCCAAACACATGTATTGGCATAGACACAGGAGAGAAACAAGAAACTGCAAAATGTATCTTGAAAGACTACTTTTGACTTTTAGATGCTTAAAAATTTATAATCAGTACCTCCCTATTCTAGGTTACTGAACATTAGCTCTCGCACAATTTGCATTGTATTGCTGACAACAGACTTTCTCAATTTATTTCCTCCACTGCTGATGCATCTAATATCAGCAAGCTTCAGTGCAATAGTGACTAGTATTAATGCAAATAGAGGGGAAATTAAACAACCCTATTTAAACTATTTTAAATAAAGATAAGGAAAAAAAAGATACTTTAAAAGATTGAGAGACTGAACAGAAGATCCTGAAAGT